ATATATACATATATACATATATACATATATACATATACATACATACATATATACATATATACATATATACATATACATACATACATATATATATATATATATATGTATATATACGACACAATTTTTCGAGTTAATTTTCTACACATAGGATGAAATTATTATTACACGATAAAATAATACATTTTCTAACATGTGATCTTAATAGAAATCCATTGAACTCTGTATCTATCGCTTATGTATAAATTTCTTTGCGGATGATATATTTTTGTAGGAAGGAAAAGATTTTATTGCTTCTATCGTTTGAAAATTGATCGATAGAATCGAGAGACCAGTGCAAAGTTCTGTTACGTTGATCAGGATGGCTAAGTATAAAAGGTAGTGCTAATGAAGGCCGATTTTACGCAACAAAAGCAAAAAATATTTAAGATCTTATGATCTTCATTATCGATCGAGTTCAAAGACAAAAATTATTACCTTTTCGCGGTTTGAGGAAAATAGCAAGAGACGATTGAAGAAATATTCAAACGATTCATAGTAAAATAAAATTGTCGTCGATAATTTTTGTTCATCGTCAGCTAGAATTGGTCAGCTGCGAAAGGATGGAGGGCAGAGTGGGTGATTATGCTGCAACTCCTCCTTCGAGAATCTCGAGGAAAAATACCAGAATGGTCTTCCAGAATATTCTTCGGGGAAAGTTGATTTTCTCCTGTAACTCGACGTCGAGGATCCGCTCACACGGATTCCAGATCCTTTCGTCGGAGCTTGCGGAAAATCTTTGGTTCATTTTTTTAGAATTAGAAGGAGAGACGGTAGAGGTGGAGGCGATCGGTAATCGATATCCGTGGAGTGCAAGGGCTCGTAAACTGGCCAAACAACGATTCGTCCGAGACGATTGGTTTAGCAGTAGTGGCCACGTTTCACAGGTGTGTGATTGCTAGAACAGGTGAACGATTGGTTCGACCCTTCCGGTTTTCCTCCTACTCCCCCTTTGAACCTCTCGTCCCCTTCGACAAATTCTCCTTTTCCACCTTTTACGAGATAAAGCGTCAGAGTGATCGCTAATCTCGCCCGCTCTTTCTGTATTTAAATTTTCACCCGTAGCTTCCCAACAGCTTCGTTACATTTTTAATCGACCAACGAATTGCAGATCCGATCTGCTGCTCTCTCTTTTTTCCCCTCAAATTATGAGAAAATCCATTAATACCTTAGTAATATTCACTAATATCGCCTCTTTTCCCACCATTATAAATTACGGGGAATTACGGTGTTAGGCAAAAGACAATGTAGCATAGAATATTCTGTAGTGTTATCCTGATGTGTAAATTGCGGAACAGTGTTCAATTGATGTCCACGGTCGATGGTAGATTATCTTATCCAGCCATTTGAATGACAATTTTGGAACGTTTAGCTATCCCAAATACATAATTTTGAAGTAATTAGTTTTCGAAATTTCAAACGTACGTTGCCCCGTATCGAATTTAAATAGAAATTTTAAATAATATCGCGAGCGGTTTGTAGGTAAATCGCGAGTCGTTCTCTTCTTTTTTCAATCGGCGGATCAAATTTCACTTTGGTGTTAAAGTTATAAAATTTATTTGCGAGTTCGAGCCGAGGCGACTCGTTTCGGGGGGCGATGTCGTAACTTCCTTTTCGGTCCAGGGCATTCAGTTTCGGTGGATTTTCGGGCGAGCA